ATTCAGCCACTGTTGAAACTGATCAGCGGCTGATTCCAGGAAGCCCGGGGCGGTTTCAGCGGCGGCTGAATCTGGAGGCCAGTTCCGACTTACATACAAATTCAACTTAAGAACAAACCTACAGTCCCTATCTTGTACGAAACCCGGGGACTGCCTGTAACTTGAATTTTTGCTGTAAGCTGAGAATGCATAAATTGGAAGCAACAGAGAACAAAGACCCAAGTGCCTTTATCAATTGCAGGATGACTATGAGCTGCCAGTGGAATGTGGGCATGAGGCCAGTTCCGACTTACATACAAATTCAACTTAAGAACAAACCTACAGTCCCTATCTTGTACGAAACCCGGGGACTGCCTGTAACTTGAATTTTTGCTGTAAGCTGAGAATGCATAAATTGGAAGCAACAGAGAACAAAGACCCAAGTGCCTTTATCAATTGCAGGATGACTATGAGCTGCCAGTGGAATGTGGGCATGAAAAAGGCTAATGGAATCTGGTAGAGACAGGAAAGTGTCAGGGATGTCAAACGTGTAGACGACTATCCGATAAGCCTGATCTTATCTGTTAATCTTGTTGACTACACACATCCCCTTCCCCCTTGCTGCCTCTGGTGGCAGGAGGGGAGGGGCAGATGGCGTGGGGGTGGGGGACAGTGAGAGCCAGTTCCTCTGCTAGAGAGGCAACAGCTTCGAGGGTGAAGGGGCAGGTGGGAGCCGATATGTGTAGGAAGCTGACTTTCAAGCAACAGGCAGCGGCACGGCAGAGGGAGAAGGGAGCAGAGGAGGCTACCACAAAGCAGCTTCTGTCTGTGGCAGCCTGGGCTGGAGCAGCCTCTGTCCGTGGGAAGTTTGGATCCTGCACAGACAGGGGCTGCTGCCGTCCTGCACGGATGCCTTTCTATCAGAGGGTAGCATCACCGGGTGGCAAGCAGAGCTGTTCTGCACGTGGCTGATTTTTAAACTGGCTCCCCTCGCAGACCAACTCCTTCTTGCCAACCTGTGCTGCTGCTCCTTCTAGAGACAGCAGGACGGGATGGCAGGGTGCTACCTGGGAGTGGGGCGATGGCGCCAGCCCCTCCCTTGGGGACTATTGAATAGTTACGTATCTGTTAAGATTTCATGCAGTTACATGACTATGCAGTTACATGGTATCTACCATCCCTAGTGTTAGTACAATTATACAAGGCACTGGTGAGACCTCATTTGGAATACAGTGTGCAATTCGTGTTTCCCATGTTTGCTTATACTCGGTGACCTCAAATTTCAGCGATCTATATATGGGAATAAAACATGACACTTAAAATAGCTTCTTTGTTACAGTCTTGTTCAAATACTGTAATTTTTGAACTTTTCGCAGTCTTAGTGAGAACAAATACCTTTCGGTGTTCTGAAGGAACTAGATTCACAAGCATGTTCTAAGTGGCTGGGAATGATTGACCATACCCAACATTTAGATAACCATGTAAGGATTGGTAGAAAATTGTAACATCTTGGTAAACTGAAATATAGTGATACCATAATTACTGGTAATTGTTGCTCAGTAGGATCTTTTCCTGTTTCTCTCCTACATTGTGCATGTGATCAACCCCAGGAGTAATGGACAAACAGTTGTAGCTTTGCAGTACTTTAGAGATTCTTAGATTTAGGCATTTTGCTCTGCAGTAACGAAGTAACCAAATACTACAAAGTAGAACATTGTTGGCTGGTTTCCAACTTCACTCTGCCACTCACCCATTTATGGGGCACTTGAGTGTCAAATTTCATGCTGCCTTTCTTTGTTTAACTTAGTGTTGCTTTGGTTCCGAACAATGGAGTTATGATATGAGGTTGTTTCTCTTACAGTTACTAAACTGTGTGTGTCCTGAGATGAAATTCTTACAGTGTTTTTATTTCACCAGTGCTCTGCTGTGTGTTACCATACAGATCTTGTTTGCCTTTGGACTGCATTGATGGTCTGTACCTTTCCATTACATCGCCAGATCTGTTTGAAGGAATGTGTAAGTACAATAGTATATCTTTTGAAGTGCATGTATAATTATCTTCAAAGGCGAGTGTGTAGGTCTTAAAAGCTAAAAAAGATGCTAGAGACTAGATGATGTACATGTAGTGAGTGTGTGTATAAGAGCAAATGATTTAACACACCTCAGGTTGCAGACTGAGTTCTCAAATTCTTAGTGCTTACACAGTGGTGGTGTACTTGAGCTCTAAGAATGCTGATAACATAAATTGCATTAATTCTTCAAATTGTATTTCATATCTTCATCATTTAAAGTTAACATGAAAATAGCTCACTAAGTCAACAGAAAACTCCCATTTATCATTTAAAATCTGGATTTTTCTCGTATTGTCATCTCCTTTTGCTAAATGATCTTGCAACCACTTCAGACAAAGAACTTGACTTCCTTATCCGTGAAAATTTGTGCTAGAAAGGGAGTATGTCATGACAATAGCTATCCTAATTTTAGAATAACTAATGGAGTGCAATTGAGTCTTTACTGGGATCTCCATCACTGACTGAATGTGTTCCTTAATAAATGTTTATGGTATTGGTTCATTTAAAACAAAATATGTACAGGCATTGGAGCTACCTACATGTAGATAGGTGACTTGGCTGTCAACAAATACAGAACAAAACATGACCTGTAAATGCAGAATGGTTTGAGGTTCTTAAGTGCTTTAAATTTCTACCAGTTATTTGACTCTGCAGTGTTCCAAATTGCTTGAATGATGGTGTTTTTGTCGGTTATTGCAGTATGTTCCTCCCTAACTTGGATTCCTGGAAACTCCATGTGTGAACCATTTGCAACATTCATTAGTGCACCAGAACATTACAACATGCTAATGTTGTTATGATTTTAAATATACTCTATTACTGCATCTGAAAAACCAATGCTAGGTCGATTCCACCTATTTGTGGACTGTGGGTGGCTAATCTAAAGTCTGTGGGTTTTATAAACTAAGTCAGTCATAACTTTATAGTCACCACAAGCATGGTTGGGGCAGGTAAACTGTTGGTTTTGGCTATAATAAATTTGCCACTTGCATAATAGTGTCTTGGACTATCTTAGCTGCTCATTCCTCTGCTTGCTCATCAGTTCCATTGGCAGCTATATAGCTTCCCTCTTTGTGCTCTTTCCCCCTTTTTGCTCTTTTTCTCTCCACAATTCTTTGTGCTCTTTCTTTCTCCACAATTTCCTCTTTGTAGATATCTTCACATTGCTTCTGTTACCCATCTCCAGTCTATTTTCTTTTATGGAAATTGTTGAATTTGAGGACCTTCAGTTTTATAGAATGGCTGATGAAATAGTCCTATTGATCTAATAGCATATCTACTCTGCAGTATATTGATTGAAATACAGGATAATGTTTTCTGTGTTGTCCATTGTGTTGAGAAATGGTTCCACAGTCCTGTTAAATGAATCCCTTTCTGACGGGTTTGTCTCCAACTTGGATGTTTTTTGTTTTTGTTTTGGCTTGATACACAATTTTAGGTAACAGGCTGAGCTTCACCTTAGTTACCTAAAATAAGTTAGAATATAGGCATTTGCTAAGCAATTACCCAGGGATGCCCGTGGGATTTACCCTACAATCTGTGTTGTGTTACTGTGGAACAGTTGGAAAGAGTAGGCATGCTACAATGGGAATGAATACTCGTGGAGAAATGGCAGCAGGTACAGAAAAATGGAATGGTTGTGAAACCAATGTTTCAAACAAATACACTGTTACCCTGAGAGCTGAGGTAAACAGTTGCTATGCTGTGGGCTATGCAATTTAATTAAAGCCTAAGGTGCCCTCCCACAGAAGCCAGATTCGGCCTGGTATCCTGTATCTAATCACCAGGAAAGAACTTAGAAATCACCAACCAACAAGAATTTAGGGCCAAACCATGTATTTTAAAAGGTAAAAGATCAAACATCAGCAAACAACATACAACTTAGCAACAGTCCCACCCTAACCCTAGAAAAGAAGAAGTTAGGAGAGTCCCGCACACATAAAGATATACATTACATTCAAAGCGGTGATTGATGTTAGATGTCCGTGACCTACAACCTTGCGGCTAATGGGAAGCCTTAAGGGAGGACAAATGGAGCGCTCCCTCGATGGATGTTTCTCGCCTCCTACGAGCTGACGCTTGATGGAGTACCAGATCCTGTCCGAGTATCCCGTAATTGAGACAGTGTTCTAAGTCCCAAAGTCTTAGTGGGAGCGGAAGAGGCTTCCCTTATTCCAATTAAAGTCACTAGCTGTGGGTAGTCTTGTCAGACTGCAGGCTGGAACCCTGGCCTCCTCAGGGTAGATGATGACGCAGGGGAACGATGGTGATCACAGACACATGCACAGGACATGAGGGGAGCCAAAGAACACGAGTGCTCCTTGACAAGGGTTTATAAGCACTTCAAGGCAGGGAAAACCCTGAACGGAGAAGGGTGCAAAGAACTAGGGCCGGGTGCATAAGAAATTGAGTGCCATGTGCAAAGGATGGATGCACACGCAGGCAAATGGGGCGATGTGCACAGCTTTTGGTGCTGAGTGCTCAGGTTTGGTACTGAGTGCACAACCTTCCTCTACCTGATTTTGGCGGGAAAGCTGCTCTGAGGAAAAGAGAACCCCTCAGACTCCATTTTGTATTACGCCCAGGCAACAACTCTAATAAATAAGAGACAGTAGGACTGTCTCCTAACAGAAACTAATCAAATTGTAGTTGTGGTGTATGTGATATGTGGAGCTTGTCTGTTTGAAGAATTCCCAGGGTCTTTAGTGCAGAATAACTAGGTTGTGAATTTTAAAGTGGAATGGGTTTGTGCAGTTTAGGATAGTCCACTGTGGAAGTGGGTTAGCTTAAATTGTATAAATTGCAGAAAAAGCGTGTCAATATGGAAAGCTCATCCAAAAAAGAAATTCAGTAATAGTTATTTCATGCTCACTGTACTAGGCTTTCCCCCCATATTGGCAAGTCCTTATTATTTAGGATTTCAAAGAGCTTACATCTTGTAGCAACCAGGGATGTTAAATTTTGATTAATTAATCGAATAGTCGATGGTATTTCCATCAATTATTTGATTAGTCAATAAGAACTTCCGTGTTCCTCCTTTGAGATGTACAAGAGCCCCAATGGAGGCTCTTGTACATTTCAATGTTGGCACATGGCGTGGAACTCAGAGCCAGTGGAGAGTTCTGCTGACCCCAGCCTCCACGCAGTGTTCCAACTTTGAAATGTACAAGCATCCCCAGCGGGGGTTCTATGCATTTCAAAGTGGAAGCGCCGCATGAAGCCTTAGATCAGCGGGGACTCCCCACTGGCCCCAGGCTCCATGTGGCATTCCAACTTTGAATTGTACAAGAGCCCCAGCGGGGACTCCTGTACATTTCAAAAGTTGGCCACCACTGCGCCCTGCCCCCTCTCACGGAGCTGGAGCTGGAGGGGAACTGAGTTTTAAGCTAGCTCCCTCTAGCACCCCCACCTCTTTTGCCTCCTTGTTGCCTCTGTGATACAGGCAGCAAGAGGGAAGAAGTGACTAGTTGACTAGTGTGTCGACTATTTGAGAAGCTTTTGCTTATCGGATCGTCGACTATTCGATTAGTTGCTTACATCCCTAGTAGCAATGGGGCTCCACTGAAACTGTTCAACAGGAAATGTTCATCTTGGCTTTCCTGTATAATTTCAGAATTCGGTGCTTGAAGATCATGGTGATTGGAAGCATGAAGACCCAAAACTCATCTGGGGAAAATGTTTTCCCCCCAGACTATTTCCTTGAACTAGGATTAAGTGTTCCCTACCACACTGGTATTTTATGTTCTCCGCTATCACGGTGTATATTGGTGTTGCCTTCCAGTGCCAAGAAAAAATTAACCAATTTCAGGTTGTCATTTTTTTTTCTCAAGTATTCTTTCCATTTTTGTTGTGAGAGGAAGGCGGAGGGGTACATGAAACCAAGTATTTGTTTTAAAGGACACTTCAATTTTATAGTAAAATAGATCAATGAATACCCTGAGTCTTGGCTGTGGAGCTCACTTGTTCATAGAATGCATAGTTGCCGTGCTATTCTCTTATGTCTAGCGAAGACTGTTGTGACTGATCTAGAAGTGTTTCATCTGGGATCTTTAGATCCTGCAATTGAGAAGTGCTTGTTATCTCTCTAGCAACATGGAGAGACAGATTTAATGAATCATTGATTTGACCCAGATTGCTCCAGAATTCACTTGGGAACTGGACATTGTCTTGTCTCTAGTTGTCTATACTGAATAGGAAGCAAGTTACACCTCCTGAACTGTCAAATAAGTTGAAACCATAAGCTAAAGCTTTTACTCTTGAAACCAATGAGATGTAATGGAACTTTGGAAATTTCCCCATGTGAAAAAACAGCCAGCGTACTTCAGGAAGATGAAAAATCAGACGAGTTTTGAATTTGCATGCATAGAAATTGACTGTTTCTTCTCGGTGCATACAGAAATTAAACCAAGTGACTATAAGAGCTACTTAAATAGTATTTATTTGGCTTCCAGCATTTTTTAACCTTTCCTGTGAGTTTGCTTTTATTATAACAAACAAAAATTGAAGAAGGAGGAGGGTGTATAAAATGGTTAGCTTACCTGAGGCTCAAACTAAAGAAACAACAACAAACAAGCCAAATCCCACACCTATTTGTAATGGATTGGTGAAGGAAACTTATCCTGAATGCTCCACTTGAATTGGCTACAGCAGTGGTTCCCAAACTTTTCGCCATCACGTCACCTTTTTGATTTTTGAGAAACCCTCAATCTCCCCCCCCCCACACAAAAATAGCAGCAAAACTTGTTGAGGGGGAAAAAAACAACTACTGACTGGGGCCGTAAAACAGTTGTGACCCCTTTAATTCCCAGGACCAGTGGTAAAAAAAAAAAAAAAAAGAAAAAAAAAGTTGCCAGTACTTCGGGCGAAAAGTTGACCCCCCCCCCACGCCCCCCTAAAAAAGGTTGCCCTTTTAAGAGCAGAGCACGCATTGCCCTTTTAAGGCCA